TATTTTTTTATATATATATTTATTTATATATATATTTATATATATTTATTTATATATATATATATATATTAGGGATGTAACGGTATCAGAATTTCACGGTACGGTAATACCTCGGTATGAATGTCACGGTACGGTATTTATTGAATCATTTACAGGAAAAAAAAAACTTTTGAAAATACTCCAAAAAAGTGCCAAAAGTGTCAATGACATACAAATTAGCCATCTATCTGTTAGCTTTGAAACAGGAACTTCAATTTTAATAACAAAAAGTTATTAAACCATGTAAAAAAAATAAAGTTTCAATTTAGTATTGTTAAAAACTCATCACATTTAACATTTAATCACTCACTTAGATAGAGATGGGTTTAAAGGAAAATTATCATATAACTATAATCTGGTAAAAGCTGGTATCTCTGGGTATTTACAATGTCCCCTGCAACAGAAAAAACCCCTCTCATTTGGGACTGAGGATTCTGGGACAAGAGAGATATGACTTGGCCCATGTTGACAGCAGTGGGGTAACGTTGTGCATTGTCTTTCCCCCACTTGAGAAGACAAACCATGAGTGAGATAGAGGTCTCTTTGCGGTACAAGTCAATGTCTGCATCAATCTGAACAGTGTGCTGTGTTTCTGCAGTCCCCATGACTGTTATTAGTCGTATTCCCCAACTTGCAGGCACGTGCACACATAGGGCTCAACCTGTGCAGTGCACATGCCCTTTTTAGTCTTGGATAGAAAATGCCCTTCCAAAACGATCAAAAGTGCCCCCGCGACGCGACACAACCTCCGTCCAGTCCAGCCCTTCAGTAGGCGCGCGATAACACCTCTCTTGAGTATGCGCGCTCAACCCCCCCTCGGCGCTTTACAATACGCGCGCCATAACACAGCTGATCAGAACGCGCGCGACAGCACCGCTATTCAGCACGCGCGCGGCGACAACACCCGCTTTAGGTTCGATCATTTCCATCTTTTTTTCATCTCCGCTACTAGCAGCACACTCCATTTCCGCATTACTGGATCTGTAGCGACAACAGACCGCAAAGGATTATGGCCACGCCGGGGCTGATGGGAAATGAAGTTTCAGCTACCTCCCGTTCGCTTCATTCGCCTGAGCAAATTTTCTCAGAAGACCTATAGTTTTACCGAGTCATGCGACTTCGGTAATATCGAAAAAATTTAATATTGCGGTATGACGGTATTTACAATACCGTTACATCCCTAATATATATATATATATATATATATATTTATATATTGTTGTAAAAAAAAAATAAATGAGTGAAAAAGAAGAGAGAGAACCCAGTCCAGGAGACTCAGAAACAAGCAGAATTCCTTTATTGAGACGTGTTGGTTAATCTGCAGTCATACAGCGCCTTTTAAGATGTTCATGTGTCTGCAAGAGCCTACTAGAGGTCCGCAGTCTGCAAGTTCTTTCACAAGTCTCACACAAGTCTGAATTAGTCTGAATTAAGACAAAGATTTCATGGCTATATTGTGTTCTTAGGAGGAGGGGATATGGCTAAACAAAGGATGCAAATTAAGGGTTGTGGTCGGCAGGGTAAACTGCTTCTCAGGTCTAATCTCATCATGTTCTGGAGACAGAAACCTCCTGACCATTTGATTGAAAAGAGTAAACAATAGACACCCCATGCTGTGAAACTGACAATTTGCATTACTTTGGCTTAGCCTGTAATCAGTAAATGTCCCTCCTAGCTGGGATGTTAATGAAATTATATAATTAAAAACCAGAGAATATAACTTTTCAGTTATACGTAGATTATTGTTCATTTGGAATTAGTTGATAGAAATTTATATTTCCACAATATATATATATATTTATTTATATATATATATATATATATATATATATATATTTATTTATTCGTAAGCTAGCTTTTATTAATTATTATGTTTATTTATTTATCTAAAACAGGAAAGTGTCCAAACACAGAGGACAACACCTGCTGAAGCGAATGATCTCCATGTGACGCACTATTATAAGGATGGAGTTCATTAAAGAGGAGAGTGAAGATGTGAAGATTGAAGAAATGATAGTCAAACGAGAAGACTCTGAGGAACAAACAGGTGGGTTTTTACTCTCAAAACTCGTTTCTCAACGTTCAGCTCTGCAGGAATTGTTCAATGATTTATATGTGCGTGTTGCATCTGATTTGAACACTGCATTAAGATTAGCTGTTTGACTAATAGTTGTAGACTTGATTTTATAGACTTTGATGGTACATTTAGCATAACATACAATTTAGCCTACTGTCTTTCAGTGCAAAGAAAGTGCTGTTTCTCAATGAATATGAAACAATGTCATTGATTATCGATATTATTTTAAAAGGCTATATCTTAAATGTTTGTTTATGTGCACAGTGCATAATAAAGTATATTATCTATTACCTAGCATAAGGCATAATAAATGCCTTTAAAATCATAATAAAATCTCTATGATAGTACTGGTTGTGTTTTAGTTTCTAGACCCGTCTCCAATTAAAGTCAGGCAAAATGATGTGGCCCTCACAGAAAAATATTTGGGGACCAAAATACTGCTTTATAGACGTGTTTCTGATGCTCTCAAACTCAACTCCTGGAGTGCCGCAGCTCTGCAAAGTTTGGCTCCAACCAGCTCCAACTCACACCTGCGTAATAGTCTTTAGTAGTCTTGAACACCTTGATTAGTTGGATCAGCTGTGTTTGATTAGGGTTGGAACAAAACTATGCAAAGCTACGGCCCTCCAGGAATTGAGTTGGAGACCTAGGCTGCGTCCGAAACTGCATACTTCCATACTATACAGTACGCTAAAAACAGTATGCGAGTCGAGTAGTATGTCCAAATTCATAGAACTCTAAACAGTATGTGAGTACCCGGATGACTTGCTACTTCCGGCGAGATTCTGGAGTGCGCATCCCATGCACGCTGCCCAATCGCCATGATGCCCTGCGAGAGAATTCATGAATGGGAGTGAGGCGACGCAACTGACGCAGGTAGGTCACGTGACCATGACAAAATGGCGAATGTAGTACGTCCGAATCCATTCATACTTTTCACATTCATACTGTATAGAACGCACTTTTCTAACGGCCGAGTAGTGTTTAAATTCAAATGCAGTACCTACTGAGTAGTAGGCGGTTTCGGACGCAGCCCTATTCTCTAGATCACAGGAGTCAAATCCAGTTCCTGGAGGGCCGCAGCTCTACACAGTTTAGCTTTAACGCTAATTAAACACAGCTGATCAAACCAATTAAGTCCTTCAGGCTTGTTTGAACCTACAGGTAAGTGTGTTGAAGCAGGGTAGGCACTAAACCGTGTAGAGCTGCGGCTCTTAAGTTTGACACCTGTGCTCTAAATGATGGTAATGTTTTTTTTGACTCTCTAAACCAGTGGTCATCAAACTTGTTCCTGGTGGGCCGGTGTCCTGCAGAGTTTAGCTCAAACCCCAATCTAACTCGACTGATCAAGGCCTTACTAGGTATACTTTAAACGTCCTGGCAAGTTGGAGCTGAAGTCTGCAGGGACTCCAGGATCGAGCTTGGCGACCTCTGCTCTAAGTGTTTCGATGTTGCCATTAAACTGGAATAACATGTAACTGTCTTTTTTGCCCTAGACCTGAAGCCATTTGTGTGTGAAAAGAGTTTCTCAAGCAGAGAATCCTTGAATACTCACCTAAATAGTCACAGTGGAGAGAAACATCACTCCTGCAAACTGTGTGGGAAATCTTTTCCCTTAAAACAATCTCTTGATTCTCACTTGAGTTTTCATGCTGGATTGTTGCCGTTCATATGTTATGAGTGTGAAAAAGGTTTCAAACTTAAAGGCACCTTTAAAAAGCACATGCTAACGCACTTTATAGATGGCTTTTTTACATGCCAGCTGTGTGGAAGGAAATTCAATACCTGGGGATACTTTGAGCGGCACAGGAGAGTTCACACCGGAGAAAAACCTTTCAGCTGCCAACAGTGTCCAAAGACGTTTGCTCGAAAAGAACAACTCAAGCTCCACATGAGAGTTCACACTGGAGAGAAACCGTTCACGTGCCAACAGTGTGGAAAACGTTTTGCTCAAACAGGACAACTCAAAATCCACTCGACAGTTCACACCGGAGAGAAGCCTTTCATCTGCCAAGAGTGCGGAAGGGGGTTTTCTCAAGCTCAGAACCTTAAGATCCACATGAGAGTTCACACCGGAGAGAAGCTTTTCATCTGCCAAGAGTGCGGGAAGAGTTTCAGGCAACTAGGGGGCCTTTCAGTCCACATGAGAATTCACACCGGAGAAAAACCGTACACCTGCCAACAGTGTGGATGGAGCTTCAGGGTAAAAACGAACCTTACAGCGCACATGATCGTTCACACTGGAGAAAAGAATTTCACCTGCCACGTGTGTGGTGCGAGTTTCAGAGCTAAAAAAACACTTTCTTCCCATTTGAGAATTCATGAGTCATCAGAGCGAGAAGAATTCACATGTCAACCTGAATGTTTGAATGACAAAACCGTAAACGTTGAATAAAATGGTGAAATTCACATTTTGAAGACTGACTGCGCTTAGTTTTTCCCGGGTGTCCGCGGGGTCTTACTTGATTTATTAACTTTTAATACTTTTTAAGAAAATTAAGGCCCTTAAAAGGTATTATAGTCTTAATCCCATTTTTACAAGGTCTTAAATTTTGTTCAAACATTGTCCAAAGTGTTTGATTCCAAAAAAAAAGCATAAATCTTTTATTCTACCTACTGAAACCCTGAAGCCTAAGCTGGTTGGCTGGTCTTAGCTGGTTTCCCACACTAGCCAGGCTCGTTTTGGCTGGTTTCCCATCCTGGCCAAGCTGGTCTCTCAATCTGACCAGGCTGGTTTTAGCTCGTCTCTCTTCCTGGCCAGGCTGGTTTTAGCTGGTCTCCCAACCTGGTTAAGCTAGTTTTAGCTGGTCTCCCTGCGTGACCAGCTAAGACCAGCCTGACCAGCTAAGACCAGTTAGCCTGACGAGATAAAACCAGTTAAGATCAGCCAGGTTGACCAGCTAAGACCAGCCTGACTAAGACCAGCTTGACCAGTTTAAATCAGCTAAGACCAACCTAACGGACTAAGACTAGCTAAAAAGTGACCAAAACCCCTCTAAAACCAGCCTGACCCGCTTAAACCAGCTTGACCAGCTAAGACCAACCTGACCAATTAAGACCAGCTAAAAGTTGCCTAAACCCCTCTAAAACCAGCCTGGCAAATCAGCCATGACCAGCCTAGGAAACCAGCTAAAACCAGCCTGGGTGACCAGCAAAATCCACCCTGACCAGGTTTTTTTTCAATAGGGTCCCTTAATTGGTTCAGGCCGGGTGTATCCGGCCGAGCTCCTCTGTCCAGGTGATGTCAAGTAATTTGCAACAAAAGTGGGAAGGTGATGTGACGCTCTCCACATGTGAAACCATAAAGCAGGGCTATTCAATTAGCAGCCCGCCAGGCAGTTTGTTTCAGCCCTCCAAATAGTGTGACCAAGGCATCAAAAATAAATTTAGTTCAGTCAAAAAACGCTATAGTTACGAAGTGATGTGCATCTGTTTAATACAGCACAAGCTGCAGTTGAAGGCTGTGCAGAGCGTGTCACCTTTGTCACAATTGGAGCGATGCATCTAGTAGAAAACATCTCATGGCGTAGCGGTGAGTTGTGTGTGTGTGTGTGTAGCTTCCAGTACACACAAAAGATACGTTACCACACCAACGTGGGTAGTGTAAAGGAGCAAAAATACAAGATATGGACTCTTATATTGCTGTTTTCATCACCTATATTGCAAGTCATATCTCTCCGGCCCCTCATTTGGGATGCTTTTTATGAACTGGCCCCCATGACAAACTAACTGAATAGCCCTGGCATAGAGCAAAACGACGGCAAAATGGGATGATGAGAAAGATGAATGTAAACAGTTGTGAAACCTGTTGCTGAAAACAAACATGTAATTCATTCTTTCCAGGTTTGTTTCTTCCAAGCTTATGTAAGTTCTGTTGAACGGCTGTGCTCCTTTAATTTATTTAACTACAGCTGTTTATTTGCTACTGTTTACGTAGTTAAAGATTTGATACTGATTAGAAGTGGCAACGAGGTCTTAAAATATTCTGAGGTCTTTAAAAGTCTTAAAAAGATATTGAAATTTCCATTAGGATTCCTGCATATACCCTGTATTTAAATCAATAAATGCTAAGCTTTTTGGTCATCTTAATCACTCGGCTCTTTTGATTTTTTAAAATATTTTTTTTTCATTTGAATGACCCTTCCACATTTTGTTGATTCTCATGTGGCTCATCCTTCTATATGCTAGGCTCAGTGAAACTATTTTGTTCTGCAGTGTGATGCTTATACAACATTCTGTTCTACTGGCTGGTTGGTCCAGTCTGAAACATCCCAGTCCTAAACATACCCTACTTCTAGAGCATTTAAAAACAGGCAGCAATAGGTACATCCTGCTTTGGTCTTCTAAAAGTACACTTCTAAAAAAGTAAAGAGAATTGACTTACCATAGCAGCAGGGGGAAGGGAAGGACAAATTTAAGTTTCTTTTCTGAGCATTTGTTTTGAAATTTTGCACAGAAAAAGCAAAACTTGCCTGAAACTTTCTGCGAGATCATGCCGGGGTCACCATTTTGTAAGGGTCTACCTTAACTGTAAAAAAAAAAGTTCTTAATCAATTAACTAACTTGCTGGCAACAAGCATCCAGTTGTTGCTGTATTACATATAAAACTAATAAGACTATGCACAGTAAGTCCTGTTTAACTGATGCTGCGTCGCAATTTTTTTTTACCCTTGGACAGTTCATCTAGTTTTTTGATTCTTTGCTGCCTATCTCGACCCATCAACTTTTTTTTTTTTTTGGTTTACTCCGAGGACTACTTTTGTTGTTGAGTCCATTGGTTGTGTTCACCGTTCTACTAATGAACCTCCATTTGGATCTAACCCCTGTCATCATGTCCTTCCCTACTCAACAGTTATCTGCTTTCAGTTTTCAAGAGTTTTCTGCAATCAACCTTGGACATGAGATGTTTGATATCCTCCTCCTTTATGTTAATTAAGTCGTCAATCTCCCTTATTCCCATTGAGGACAAATTTTCAAATCATCTTCTTAGTCCTCCTATCCAGATGGGGAAGGGTACATTTTAATATCTCCATCACTTTTCACCTAGACAGACAGAATGAAAAAGCACGGCAAGATCAAGATCAACCTCTCTGTATACAGGCAATAGTCAGCAATACTGTCGGGACATACGCAAACATGAGTCTCAAGTTCATGCTGCAGACATTGTATACCAAGTTCCAACGCTGGCACTGCCTGATTTCTCAGACACGAAACAAACCTTTTCCTGTTTGACCAACATTAGAACAATCTTGCTGAGCACATACATGCTATCATTGACATCAAGAACAACACTCATGTCCTTTTTGTTAATCATGCCTTTATATGTAGATGTTTCAATTTTTTGCCTTTAGTCGAACCCCTGCACCACACAGCTTCCAGTTTATGCATTGTACATCAAATTCATTTGCCTGACCAATTCAAGAATGGAGAGGAATTTCTCAAGCCCATTGTATCTTTCTTGACTTCCAGTTACAGCATGGCAATTGTGTTTGGCGTCACAACTGTGGCTAGATGCTCACCTCGATTTGTTTTTAATGTTTGTACCTGGTGTGGTCCAGATGCTTTTCCAGTGCCAGGCTGGCTGTCAACACCTGCTGCCTGTAAACTGAAAAGAGAGGGCCTTTCGTAGCATACGAAGAAACATTCGAGAAAAGAAAAGAAAGCCAGGAGGCAGGTGCATCTTAAAAAGCTCCTGATGTTGGTGCTTCATGGTGGTTGTTCCAGACCATCATGCCTTCCTTCGATTCTCCCATGGTTCAGGCCATGGTTTCTCTGCCATGGAGCAATTCATCTGCTGGCCACGATGTGTGCGCTGTGCACCTAAGATTGCTGCCATGTGCCAGTCTTTCTGCCTTGGGTTCTGCTTCTATGCAGCTCAAGATGGCCTTAATAAATGGCCGCTTAATTTCAAACTAGTCTTTTGTGTTGGGCTATTTACTTCTAAAAACCTGGATATGTTGCTGACAGACCTATTTTATTCTATATTCCACCTGGGCCAACAGCATCTTTCTTCAGCAAGTTTACAGATTTTTTTTCTTCCATAATTAAGCTTACAAAGTTTTTATTTTTGTCGAATTTAATATTCACGTTGATAGCAATGCTTGTAAAGCTACTTCTGATTTTTTAGATATTTCTCATCATGTCTCTGGTCCTATGCATTACAAGGGTCATTCTCTTGATTTAGTTTTCTCTCACGGTCTAAACACTGGCACTGTAATCATTAAAGGTGTATTTATTATTGACCACAAGTGTATTTTATTTGATGTTGCTGTTAATGTTGCTGCCTGCCTCATCAAGCGAGAGTCCTGCTCTCACAGTATTGACCAGCTTGTTGTCAAGAACTTCTGAGCCACTTTTGAATAAAGCACGGTTGTTGTTTCAAATGACACTGATGCTTCGTTACAGTCGTTTAATGATGATTGCATCATGTGACTGGTCAATGTGGCTCCACATAAGGCCTGTAAGAAATCAGCCGTTTATACATCTCCATCAATAAATGATGCTATTCACAGTTTTAGATGTGTATGTTGGAAAACAAAGCTTCAAGCTCATCACCTGCATCTTAAAGAACTCTTGTTCAATCTAAATGAGATGATCAAGGATGCTAGACCCTCTTATTTTAAGAAACCGTTATCAGCCAACAAAAGAAACCCTATAATTCTGTTTGAGACTATCACAACATTGTGTCTCCTGCTACTTCTGTTATATCCATGTTTTCAAATGAGAATTGTAACCATGTTCTGTTTGATTTTGTGGACAAGGTGAAAACTGTCGGAGCAAGTTTTGTACCATTTGGACGTTTTTTGTTTTTTTTCACCCATTAACCTGAATGATTTAATTAAGTTAAAGGGTATGGTGAGGTTATCCCAAAGCCCTGCAGATATTTTACCTGCCTCACTCATTTCAAAATCAATCGCTTTTATTGGCCCTTGTTTAGTTTCAAGAATGAACCTTTCGCTTAGGCTAGGCCGAATCTTCCAAATATTTTTAAACATGCTATTATTCAGCCGCTCTTGAAAGAGTTATCTTGATACTGCTTCACTAAACAATTACAGGCCTTGTGCGGGGATTGTCGCCATGCAGCTAAATTCTGTTTTGGAGGCTCATAATATCTAATTTAAAATTTCTGTCTGGTTTCTGTAAACACCATTTAACTGAATCTGCCCTCATTAGGGTCTCATATTATATTTTAATAACTGCCGATACAGGTGAATGTTCTGTGCTGGTTTTGCTGGATCTTAGTGCAGCTATTGATGCTATCGATCACTGCATTTTAATTAAGAGACTGCATTCACTTGTGGGCATTCCTATGACACCACTGGATTGGTTAACTTGCTGACATAAGTTTTTCTGTGTCCGTGGGAACTTGTGTATGTCAGACTATGTTTCTTTGTCCTGTAGTATGCCTCAAGGTTATGCTCCTCTTATTTTTATTTTATATATGTTTATTTATATATTAGTTTTAAAGTTATATCTTGTCATTGCTATGCAGATTATGTTTGTCTTTTAGCCCTGACAGACTAGATAAACAGTATTTCTTGTAAGATTGTTTAGTCTCCATTAACAAACAGATGGCAGACAACTTTTTGCAACTGAACCCTGATAAAACTGAGGTTGTTTTAAGGGTTGTCATCTTCAAACTGCAGTAACCTTAGAAATCTGGATGTCATCTTTGATAGAGCTCTGTTCTATAGTGATGTTCAGTCTGTTGTTCGTACATGCCTTTTCCATCTGAGGAACATCGCACAAATCAGAAATAAGGTTTCAAAGGAAGAGATGGAGATGCTTGTCCATGACTTTATCTCTTTATGGTTGGACTATTGTAATGTTCTGTACTCTTGTCTGAACAAATCTTCTATGGAGCATTTGCAAATTGTACAGAATGCAGCTGTAAGGTCCAACCAGTTGGCCCAATGAAGGTTTTCCACTGGTGGATGAAGATTTAACTGCGTGTTTGGTCTTTTAGGTGCACAATGTTGTTTTAGTTAAATTTTAACTCGTATCTGACTCCAACTTGAGTATGAGGTGGTTTAGAATAATAATATATTTATCCTTTTCGTGTCTGACTCTAATCATAAAACATTAAGATGATTATATCAATATATAATTTAGATGAATGTTGGAACCTATTGTCTTAACTCGTAACTATTACATTTGTTTATTCGGGTGCTCATGTCGCTCAGAGGAATCTCCTCGGCCGATGGCGTCCCTCATGGTCACACTCTCATTAGTATTAATTATTAAACAGAGGCAATTGACTAATATTTTTAGATGGCTGCTTTTATGCTTGCTTATTATAAAGTATTTTTGATTAGTCCCCTTAGATCAGGGATCACCAAACTTGTTTCTGGAGGTCCGGTGTCCTGCAGGTTTTAGCTCCAACCCTAATCAAACACCCGAACAAGCTAATCAAGGTTTTATAGATTTACTTGAAAGACCCACGCAGGTCTGTTAAGGCAAGCTGGAGCTAAACACTGCAGGGCACTGGACCTCCAGGAACGTGATTGCCCCTGCTTTAGATGTACACCCTGAAGTTAAAGGTAATGTTGTTTCCAATCAGAGGTCTAGGCCATTATTATGAATATAACCAACTACTGTTCTTTATAATAATTTCGGTGTAGCCAAGCTCACCATTTCCCATGTAAGAACAACTTTAATCAAACAAGGGTCCTTATCAACCCTCCAGGAGTATGTTTAAACTTTTAGCCTGACTTGCACTTGATTTGGTGTGGACTTCTAAACACCTGAAAGTCTCAGAATTTCTCAGGAATTCTCAAAATTTAGATTTCAGATTTAGATTCAGATTTACTTTTGTAATCTAGAGAAAGTTCCTCATTAGGGCAGTGTTAGATTAAAAATACAGCCAACTTTTATATACATGAAAACAAATGGAATAACAGTAAATCGTCCTTTACCAGTTATGAAATGACTTTAAAAAACAAGGGCCATAATAATATTCAGCAAAACCATATTAAACAATTTTGGGGCTGGAGATTTATTTATAGTGTAGATATAGTTGAAAAAGGAAAATCATGACATGAGGCCAAGTATGCTGACCCACACTCTGAATTTATGTTTTGCATTTAACCCAATTATATGAACACACACAGAGCAGTGGGCAGCATTTGCTTTAGCACCCTGGGAGCAATTGAGGGATCAGTGCCTTGCTCAAAGGACTCACCTCAGCCATGGTTTTGAGGGTGGAGAGAGGATGGTGGTTATTCACCTCCAAAACCTACAACCTCTGCCAGTCCAACTCTTTAACAATTTATCCCTAAGCTGCCCATTTGTGTATTTTATTGGTCATACTTTACATTAAAATTCCATTGGTTAGACATTTATCTCCAGTTGTGCTTGTTAACATTAGTTAAAAAATAAAGTTGTTTCTGAAGGGAGTGGATTTTCTGATGGATGTCCCGGGGCATCAAACCCACAACCTTGGCATGCTTTACTATCTGAGCTACAGGAAATGTGACCATGCGGGCAGAAGAAAAAAAGGACAATGCAGGAGAAATAAACTGTGAAATATCAGGCCCAATTTGGTCATCTGAGACAAATTTTGGGAAATTTTAAAAGATATCTGAAATCTGTGGTCTTTGATGTGAAGTTGTGTATTTTCTGATGGATGTCCACTACAGGAGGGAGTAACACATATAATTTTTTTTGTCTTTATGATGAATAATAAAGTTGAATGTTTAAGGGTCTAGATTATATGATGACCTTACTGTCATCCCTCTTCAGAGTAAAATTGGAATAATATGTGTGTCATTGCTTTTTTGTGTCAAATTATTTGTTTCCTCAGGCTGTACCAAGTCATTTAAGAGGTCAGGGAGACCTCTAAAGTGGAACTTGACTCTTGAATGATTTAAGCAAACTCCTTTGTGTGCAAGATATGTTTTCTGTGTTTTAGCAAGTTGCAAGTTTGGATGTAGATTGTACCAGTTTTGATGGGGTCAAAACTGGCTGGTGGCTGTCTGACATTTGTATTCTTGAAATATCGAGATATTGTTCAGAATTGTACACACACACACATGGAATTTTTTATAAATTATAAAGCATATATTATCACTGGTTTGAGCACAGTCTGGGTCAGTTGGCGTTTCTGTGTGGAGTTTGCATGTTCTCCCCGTGTTGGTGTGGGTTTCCTCTGGGTGCTTCGATTTCCCCCACAGTCCAAAGACATGCACTATAGGTAAATTGAATAAGCTATATTGTCTGTAGTGTATGTGTGTATGTCCTGGTCCTCCAGGTTGGGGGTTGAGCGATAAGCTAACGACCCACCTCGTCAAAATTAGAGGTTACGAAACACCAACATGGTGTGGATAGGTACCAACTTCCATAAACAGCCCTGGGAGTAAGCAAGCATACAGATTATAGTATAAATTAACATAAGACCAGCATAGACAAACATTACACATAAATTATGCGTAATTTATTTACTTGATATTTTTTAGCTCTTGTGATTTTTTTTTTTAGAAACCTTGAAGCATAGTGAAAAATATTAAGATTTTTGAATATTCATAATCAAATATAAAAACATAAGCTCTAGTTGATTTTAAATTCTTTTATTATTCGTGCTCAAATATTAAAATATAAAAGAAATAAAGATATACACATGAATGACATGTTCTCAATAAATCATAAAAAGGTAATTTTGAGCAATAATTGATGACATTACAACCCCAAGTCAGAAAAAGTTTGGACAGTATGGACATAAAAAATAAAGTATTGATTTCTAGATTTACTTTGACTTGTATTTCATTGCAGACAATACAACAAACGTTATTTAATGTGTTGCTCCATGGTTTTTATGGTTTAATTTTGAACACATATTCCAATTTTGGTTCATCCAACACATTTCCATAAAGTTAGAACATCAATGCATTTACCACATTTTAATGTTGCTATTCTTTTTCACAACACAAAAGACATTAATTGGCGGAAGACACCAAGTGAGTGTTTTTGTCCCATTCTTCCTGCAAGCAAGTCTTAAGGTAGGCAACAGTAAGGGGTCTTCGTTGTATTTTTCGCTTCAAAATGCACCACATATTCTCTATTGGGGACCGATTGAGACTGCAGACAGGCCAGTAAAGAACCTGTATCATCTTCCTCTGCAGCCAGGACTTTGTAATGTGTGCAAAATGTGGTTTTGCATTGTCTTGTTGAAATATGCATAGGCATCCCTAGAAAAGATGTCTTCTTGAAGGTAGCGGATTGTGTTCTAAAATCTCTGTACTTCATCAATAATGGTGCAATCACAGAAGTGCAAGTTATTATTGCCAAGGACATTTGACCATGACAAACTCTGGCTTTTAGACTTGTTGCTGTTAACAGTCTGATCCTTTTCTTCTTTGGTCCAGAGCACAAGGCATCAATTTCTCCCAAAAATTACCTGAAATACTGATTCATCTGAACCGAGTACGTTTTTACTGTGTGATGGTCCATCCCAGATGCCTATGAGCCCAGAGAAGTTAACATAGGGCTTCCTTTTGGCACAGTTCAGTTTTCACTGGCATTTGTGGATGTATACAGTATATTGTAGTACTTGACAAAGGTTTGCCTAAGTACTCCTGAGCCCATGTGGTGATACTGTATATAGATTATTGATGGTTCTCGATGCAGTGCTGCCTGAGGTATCGGAGATCATGGTCGTTCAGCTTAGACTTGCGTCCTTGTTTTTTACACACTGAAATTTCTTCAGATTCCTTAAATTTCGTAATAATGTTATGCACTGTTAAAGGTGAAATATCCAAATGTCTGCCTATCTTTCCAACCATAAACAAAGTTGATAAAACTAATTGAGTCTTTCAGGTTTGTTTGAAACCTGCAGGTAAGTTTGTTGAAGCAGGGAACTGAGTTTGACACCCCTGTTCTCTATCGTCTTACTACTACTGACTAATCCTGGGTAAATCTCTACTCAGTCTCTCAGTGTTCAGCACAGTTTCACTGATGATCCTGGATCAATATAAAACCCAGGCCAGAGAGTCTGATTGAATGTGGTCTGGACTGAGTGGATGAGGCTCATTGTGTCTCTATAGATGTTGTAAAAGATCAGAGTTCCTGCACTGTGATCCACAAACACTCCTATTCTACTGCTGATTGGCTCAACTGGGAGATCAGTCCATGTGTTATTATGCATGTATGAGAAACTGGAGGAAGAGCAGATCAAACTCCAAGACTGAGTGTTGTGTCCAAACACGCACTCAATATCTCCCTTCCTCCTGATGCTCTTATATGACACTGATATATACACACCAACATCCCCACTCCACTCAATCTCCCAGTAACAACGTCCACACACACTCTCTCTGCACAACACCTGAGTATAATCAAATCTGTCTGGATGATCAGGATACGGTTGTTTCTCTCTCACACACTTGACCTCTCTGTTCTCCTCAGACAGAACGAGTTCATTGTTTGCTGTGTTTGGATCCAGTGTGAGAAAACAGCCATCTGAACACAAGAAGAGACACATTTATAACACAACAACACTCACTAAAGCTTTGTGTGTGTGTGTGTGTGTGTGTGTGTGTGTGTGTGTGTGTATACGTATTTGTGTGACATATTAGGACACAAATCTGTATAATGACATAGGTATGACACAGGTTTTACAAAAAGTAGGTTAAATATGAGGACATTGGTGACTTCCTCATTTCTCAAAATGCTTATAAATCCTAGAGAATGAGTTTAATCAGAGAGTAAAGCAGCACACAAGTTGGGTTTAAGGGTGGGGTGGAGTGAGGGCAATACAATATATGGTTTGGACAGTATAAAATGAATGGAAACCTATGTAATGTATGCACTTTTCACAAAAACAAACGTGTGTGTGTGTGTTGACATACATTTCCGCAATCCTGATGCAATCCTCTTCTCACCTCCATGATCCACACTGTACACACACCGATTCTCAATCAATCAGCAAACAAGAAACACAGATCAATGACTAGAGAAGTTGTTATAGTTCATGATTAAAAATATCCAAATCTCACTTGAATTGAAAAAATTCAATTTTGTAAAATGTTTAAGCTTCTGTTTGATTATCCACTCTTTATCTCGGATACTGTCATATCCCTCCCTTCATCTAAAACACAGTCACCCCCATCCACCCACCCTCTGCTCTTCATCTCAAATGCCACAATCACAAATCGCAATACAAATCTGCAATGTAAAGGGAAAGCACACAAGGACCAGGTAAAGACAGCTACAATAGTGAGACCTAGATGAAGGCTAAACCTGGTAATAGGAAATGAGGTAGGAAGAGAAAAGCACATGACAAGACAAATAATGATACATTAAACATACAACAGAGACAGAACTTTCATAGAACCATGACAATATCCCTCCCCCATTGGATGCCTTCTGGTATCCAAAGAGGTATGGCAGGAAAGCCAGGGGAAGAACTAGGAGGGAGAGTGGGAAACAAAACTAGGAAGCCTAAAGTAGAAAGGAATCAAAGGGGGCAGGATTGGGAGGATGAAAAAAAAGGTTGGGTGGGTTAAGGGCTGACAGCTTAGTGAAACTACATGGACCAGATCACATGATCAATGGACTGTAAGGTACAGAGAGTCAACAGACCTGTGGATAAGTTTGGGTCTTTGACACAGTTCCTGCAGCCCTGGAGGACTTCTCAAAATGACTTGATTTTGCTTAGGGGCAACAGGATATGGTTCAAAGACAGGAACAGACACTGGACAGGGTACAGGAGCTGAAGCCGAAACTGAGCTCAAGAGCTGAAGTCCTAGATACACTGTGTTTGGGGACTGGAGCCATCTCTGAAAAACACTCAGGGACTGTATTGTGCTCTGGGGCTGAAGTCTTTATTACACAGCGCTGGGGGACTGGAGCAATCTCCTGAATACACCCAGGAGCTTAAGTTGGCACTGTGCTCAGGGGCTGGTCTCTCATGTGTTCCGGTTCTGAGATGGCTCTCTTTGGAGGGGGAACAGGCTCTGGACGTTTACATTTAATTGCAAGAACAAATAATGACAGAATATCTTTCGTTCACTTTACAAGACTGCCAAGTAACTCTGATAAGGCCTTTGCTGAGGAGTCAAAGGAATGCTTGATACTGATCTCATTAGCTGTGATAAGGAGCACAGAGTAATTTTCGCAGTGATCATAATGGGTAGACTAAGAGCCTCAGGGCTGGAATCCATGGCTAAAAACCTTGTGAGCGAGCTGCTTAGGAACAGCTTTAGTAAAATCAGATTATGTAGGTGACTCAAAGACGGCCTCTGTTGGCACAACCCTACAGGGCAGAACTTCAGTCTTGAAACCACTCGTCAGAAAGACATCAGTGGACACAAAGGAAAAACAAATAGTTGGGAAAGATTCACTTGATTGGGTTCTGGGACAAAAGGGACTTGAAAAGGAGGGACAGTCTTTCTCTTCCGCATAAGACAGGGCATATAATTGCCTCTTATTATCTATAATCACCTTGGCTTATTTAGGCAAGGTGCTGACTCAGTGAGAGGAACAGACTCTAGGCTGGAATAGAGAAATGGGTTAAACTGACTGGTGCAAAATACTTGACTGTCTCAAAGGTATCTGGAATGCATTCAGTGGTTTCAGGAAAGACTGTAGTTGAATGGAACCGAGTGGGTAATAGGTGGCTTGGTCATCTTAGAAGTGACTGAAGCAAGGGTAAATGTCATGTACTATGTTGCTTTATGACATTTCGTGACCGCAAAATTACAGGTGAGCTGATGCAATGATATTTGTTTACCATAAAGAGAAAGCAGTGAATGAAGTCCAAGTCACTGTGCTTAAAAGTGTTTGCATATGGTCTGAATAACATAACAAAGATGTAAATATGGACCAGGAGTCACTCTTCAGGATTTATATTAGCAATATCTTCCGATAAAATCAACAAACATCTACACTGTCAACTATATGCTGTGGTTTTGCCTATAAATTTTTGTTTCATTCAATGGCCGAGTAACAAAGTATGTGCATATCAGACCAAATAATCTCAGTAAGCAACAGATGTACAACACTCTTGTGTATTCATTTACTGACAAGTCTGCTGAGGTACAGCAAACTGAAGCACTGTGTCACTGCAAAAAGTCAGAGTCAGAGATTGTGTTTATGGGGCAGTCCTGGACAATTAATCATCTAAGGTTTATCCAAAATAAGTTGCTGGGTTTTGTCAGCATATACATTTGGTGGAATAGACAACACTAAAAAGGGTCTATATTTTTAATAGCGCAGACAGCCACAAAAACTTCCTTTAACTTAATTTAACATCATCAGTAGAATAATATGATTAAAATATAGTCAGTTAAATAGCCCTAAGCATTCGTTTAGGTTTTCAAGCATATAACAAGATGAAAAGAGGTAATGTTATGCAAGTCCTGTAAGCATAAAGCCTATAGAAAAGTCCCTTTAACACGCCTAATGCCAGTTTACCAATTACATTTCAGCACCCCGAGTTTCCTTGGTGGAAAACAGCGTACTTAATTCATTCAGTCAGGAAAAGTATGTGACTGAAATGATGATTTTTGGTCCAAACTGTACAAATAAGGCTCAATAAACTGATCTTTGCATGGGCAATCACTGTCGTTATACTGTACTAATTAGGGAGTGCACAGGTGAGGGGGATCAAAATTTAGATAATGGTGATCTGGAGTGCTAGGGTTCAGGTGTGGGCGTGGCTTGTGGTTAATGCCTGACAGCAGGGAGCTGAGTGGGGCGAATCTTGAACGGTCCAGTCGGTGATAAATCTGTTTAATATGTGTTGTATGAAATTTATTAGTGTTTTCTTTTTCAGTGTTCGGATATGCTCATATTTTGGTGTTTATATTTCTTCAGTGTTTGGATAAGCTTATATTTTGGTGTTTATATATAACAATATATATTTAATATATGTTTTGTAAAAGGTTACTATAAGGTACAATACTAATTTTAAGCTCTCTAAAACGAAAAAATAAAGAGTAGTTTCCAATTGTTAATAAATCTGTTTCAAATTAGTTTTTGTTTTACATAAGGCTAGTGTCGGGTTTTTTTGTGTCTTCTCTGTCTCCCTCTTGTGTATTGTCATTTGTATGCAGTTTCACCTGTTATCAATTCTCTTGTTTCCCCGTCCCCATTGCTCTCACCTGTTCTCCCTGATTATTTGGCTATTTAGTCTCCCCTTCTCCCTTGTTCTGTGCTTGTTAATTGATTCTGTGTTCAAAGAGCTACGTGTGTTACCGGTTCTCTCTGTTCAAGATATCTACACATTTTGCAATCCATCTCGTCTAGTCCTGTGTTGTTTATTTTACCACTTGTCATCCGTTCATCTGTGCTCTGGCTCACCTCTGCTCTGCCCACAGTCCACGCTCGAGTGAGGTCTCATCTTCTCGGCTCCCTGAGGTCTGTCCCTACTTTACTACTGCTAACCCAAGAGGGTCTTTTTTTTGTTTGATCAGTCCTACAACGCCCAAAGGAGGGTCGATTTCAGACTGCCTGTGTTATCTATAAAATTTTTGAGTGACTGTTTTCTTACTGCCCAGGAGAGCAGAATTGTTGATTTATTTCTGTTTAATAAATCCCTTTGAACTTCTCCCTTGCGCTTAGCGCATAGCTGTAAAATGATTCTCCTTTCACATTCATTCATATTGAATTACCTGCTTCTCTTAGACATAATGATTGTGTTATTCTATTTGTTCTGTATATGCTAACTCCATAACTCTCTCTGAATTTTTAGTAAAGACAATTTTGTTTGTTTTAAAGTCATGAAGTGGCAGGTAAAATCACAAGAGTAGTGCTCAACATACTTGAGTTTGTTCAGTGTGTAGTTTGGATCCTCCAGTTTTTCAGAGAGCAGCTTGACTCCTGAATCTCCTGGATGATTGTAGCTCAGATCCAGCTCTCTCAGTTGTGAGGGGTTTGAACTCAGAGCTGAAGACAGAAATCCACAGCCTTCCTCTGTCACCATACAGCCAGACAACCTACAAACACAGAAATAATCCACATCACAGTTGAACAATTGCACATTTCTTTGTGGTATAAAAATGCTGACTGGTGTTTCTGTCTAGTGTTGTCATGATACTGATATTCGGTACAAATCGGTACTGAAACTTAAACGTCCATTTTCACTAACATTTAAAAGCTGTTGCCATTGTGTTCATTTGCTTAATAGAAATGTGATTGGCCATAAAGGTCATCAGTTCACAACTGTTCACTGAGTGCAAACACAGATACAGGTACACTGGAGCATTTTAAAGCTGCGAAGATCATTTGATTCATCAGCAGATCACTAGTATGTCAGCTCACAAACAGACCAGCTTTAAAAAGCTACAGTGTCCTTGTATCTGTGTTTACACTCAGTGAACAGCAGTGAAGTTCGGTGAACTGAGCATCAGCAGCTTTATCCAGATCTCCTTTCATCAGCAATCTCAGATCATGTGGAAATCCAGCTTCATCCCTGATCAATCACGTTAACCAATTAATTACGACCTGAACAGCACTTGATATTTACAGGCAGGTGTGTTTGATAGGGGTTGCAATTAAAATCTGCAGGAAGGTAGATCTCCAGGAACAGGGTTGAGCACCCCTTTCCTATACACTATTGCATATATGTGGGGCATTATGGAGAATCAACTGATGACCAATCAATCTGAAGAAAACCCCAATGAATGTCAATGACTTAGTGATTACAGCTCCACGAAGGTGCAGCCACTTATAAAAAACATAGTATATGTGTTGCATTTGTAGAAAAGCATAATAGACTTTTCACTTCAGAGCTGTCCTGGACACTGAAGATATAATGGAATCTCACTCCAGAGTTCCAGTTTGTTGTTAATGTCACTCCCCATAATGCTGTTCCAACATAACTTGCAGATAGACTGACTTAAGTGGAACCATCTTGTTGTTCAGTTAAACATAACTTGGAGAGACTGACTGAAGAGGAGCTTCTTTTTGTTGTTTAGTTGTTGTTGGAAAACCCTTTACCTCAACATCTCCAGTTTACATGTTGGATGCTTAAGTCCATTAGAGAGAAGCTTCACTCCTGAATCCTGCAGGTCATTGTTACTCAGGTCCAGCTCTCTCAGGACACAGTTTGACGATTGTAGAGCTAAAGACAAACTCTCACAAGACTGAGCAGTGAGATCACATATGGCCAATCTGAGAAAGGAGAACACAGATTATATTAATAATGTGATTTTTAGGTAATTCATCTGATGTTCAAAAGAACAAATCAATCAATCTGATTCTTGAACTCAGACCTCAGTGTCTCCACTTTACAGTTTGAACTCTTCAGTCCATCAGAGAGAAGCTTCACTCCTGAATCTTGCAGGTCATTGTTACTCAGGTCCAGCTCTCTCAGGACACAGTTTGAGGATTGTAGAACTGAAGACAAACTCTCACAAGACTGAGCAGTGAGATTACAGCCCTGTAGCCTGTGCAGAGGACAAAAGCAACATGTAGTGTTCATCTGTTGTATTTATTATACTAAGATGACTGCTTGCCCATAGTCACTTTACAAGATGGCTGCTATGCCCCTTGCTGTTATAGTGGCAATATCACAACTTCCAGCTGTTAGGGATCTTGAGCCACAGTCCTATGCTTCTGTAGATGCCACTTTAATAGTCCTAGGCATTGCGAATGCAGCATTTAAAGACATCCAGGCTGTCTTTAAATCTAAGTGCTGCTGATGATATGACAATAAAAGTGATTTGATTTGATAAGACGTTTTTAAAACTAGACTCCAGTTGGTCAGATTTAAAGCTAGTTTTGGCACAAGTCCTATTCATAGCCTATTTTAGTTGGTGACTATGTTACTAAGCCTGTTAAAGTCCTTCCCTCCACAACCAACGGTAGCTCTGCCAGCTCTACTATAATAATCCTCAGCTTCACTCTTGACCACCTGTCCTGTACACTTTCATAGTTTCATTGACCTGGTTCCCTGTCCTTCATCCTTGTCCACCATTGCACCGTCACCCTCCTGAATTCTCTCGTTTTGTTTACTTTTGAGGAGCATCTAGAATTTGCTTCAGGAGTGGCAGGATGATCATTCCACTCTTACCAGAAATACTTTAACAAAACTACACAAAGCTAATAAAGTAATAGCTACAATACCTTTTCATTGAAAATGTTTTTAGTTCTTAGAAGTTATTGTGTTAAACCAAGTTCACTCATTTTGGTATTCATAATCTTCTGCATTATTTTAAATTAGGTATAATATAACATAGATTTTTCTTTAAACTCTATTTAACACATTGTCCAATTAAAATGAGTTTGTTGTTGTTTACGTTCACCAAAAACTGGATGATGTAAGCATGATGGTGTACTAATATATATGCTGACATATACCAATAAATGTATTAATAATTTTTTGGATCAATGAATGAAGGACATTGACTTACAGAGCTTTTTTGGAGGATTTGATGACTGCTGATAGTCTGCTTAGACATGAGTCTGATTTCTTGAATTTCTGAAGCTCAAACTCCTCCAGCTCCTCCTCTGAGGTCAACAACACAAAGACCAGAGCGGACCACTGGGCAGGTGAAAGGTCAGCAGATGACAGACTTCCTCTACTAAGGTGAGACTGAATCTCTTTCACAAGAGTTTGGTCGTTCAGTTCATTTAGGCAGTAGAACAGATTGATGGATCTCTCTGGACACAGATTCTCTTCAAGCTTCTGCTTGATGTACGCAATTATTTCCTGTCTGCTCTGGTCTCTGTCATCCTGCTTTGTCAACAGGCCTCGTAAGAGTTGTCGATTGGACTGGAGTGATAGACCGAGAAGGAAGCGAAGGTAAAGGTCCAGATGTCCAGTGTCACTTTCCAGAGACTTGTCCACTGCAGTCTTCAGCAAATTAATCATGTCTTTATTAGTCTGTCTAAAAATACATAAATGTTTCTTGTTGATGTCTAGAAGCAGATGTTGATAAAGGGCTGCAATGAACTCTTGAATGCTTAAATGAAGAAAGCAGTACATTGTACCAAGAATGATTCCCGTCTCCTCCTTAAAGATCTGGGTACACATGCCTGAGTACACCGATGCCTTATAGACGTGAATGCCACAGTCTTTCAGATCACTCTCATAGAAGATCACATTGTTTCTTTCCAGCTGCTGGAAGGCCAGTTTCCCCAGTGAAAGGATGAGGTTTTGATCCCAGGAAACTTCTGGTGTGTTTTCTCCATCATACTTTCGTCTGCTCTGCTGGATCTGAAAGTGGAGAAAGTGTGTGTACATCTGTGTCAGAGTCTTGGGAGTTTCCTGCAGTGTTTTGGCATGAGCTTTGTGTTCCAGTTCAATATTTATTTTCTCCTTTAAAATGTTCTGTAGAACAGTAGCTGAAATCCAGCAGAAGACTGGGATGTGGCACATAATAAAGAGACTCTTTGACTGTTTAATGTGATCGATGATTTCTCTGGCCTGATTCTGATCTGTGAGTCTCTTTCTGAAGTACTCCTCCTTTTGGGCATCATTGAATCCTCGTATCTCTGTCAGCCGGTCGACACAGTCAGCAGGAATCTTACTGGCAGCTGCTGGTCTGCTCGTGATCCAGATGAGAGCGGAAGGAAGCAGATTTCCCTTGATGAGGTTCGTCAGGAGAACATCCAGAGAGACTGCTGTCGATACATCACGACACATCTCATTACCAGCAAAGTTCAGAGGAAGACGACATTCATCCAATCCATCAAGGATGAACAGGACTTTGAATCGTGTCCTTGTAAGGTTCAGTCCTTTGGTCTCTGGAAAAAACTGAGTTATGAGGTCTCTTAAACTTTGCTTTTTCATCTCCATTAAGTTCAGCTCTCTGAATGGAAGAGGAAAGATGAAGCTGATGTCTTGATTTTCTTTTCCTTCAGCCCAATCCAGAACAAACTTTTGCACAGAGACTGATTTCCCGATGCCAGCAACTCCTTTTGTTAGGACAGTTCTGATCTGCTTGTCTTGTTCAGGTGCTTCAAACAAATGTTTGCATTCAACCTGTATGTCTAGTGTTTGATGACGTCTGGAAGCAGCTTCAATCTGTCTGATCTCATGTTCAGTGTTGACCTGTTCACTCGCACCCTGAGTGATGTAGAGATCTGTGTAGATGTTATTCAGAAGTGTGGAGTCTCCCTGCTGAGCGATTCCTTCAAACACACTTTGATATTTCTTCTTCAGGCTGCATTTTAACTGATTAATGAAGATCAGCTCATCTAAACACAGGAAAAAGAGATAGCTTAGTCTTAACTTTTCTAGTTATATTTGTAAGTGACAGTCTGACAGAGGAGTCTCTTACCCTCGAGAGTATTAGCAGCTTCATCTTGCTTCATCTCTCTCAGGAAGAAGAGTGTGAGATCAAGAGCTGCCTCTGTGATTCTGCATCTGTTCTCATTAAACTTCTTTACAAAGTCTTGTCTGTTTTCTTCTTGTAGGATTTTACTAAACTTTTCCAGTTCATTCTTCATGAATCTGATCATTTTGCTCTCAAGATTCTATGATTGAAGAAAAGAGAACAATGTTAATAAAAAATGTCATTCACATAAAACCGTTGAGTGCCTAATTCCTATTGACTAATGAACATTCTAAGGCATGTACAGTTATTTTCTCATAAACACACAGCTAAAGTAAATCCAGGTCGTGTTTGAGTGTATCACAGTTAATTCACAGCTACAAGAGTCAAAAATGACATTAATATAAAACCGAAGGCTTTGGATAAGATGTGTAAGAACCTACACGCAGCATCAGTTTGAGGATAAAAACCTGATAAAGGTCTGAAATACAACATCTCAACGGCAGCATTAGCTGTGGGAACCATAATATCCTAACAAACATTTTTTGTTGTTGTTTAAAAGAAGTTTAATGTACATCTAAACTAAGAAAATCTAATAGATATGTAAGAATAGCCCAAGAGCAGACTAATAATCAAATACACACGAATGAAAAACTACACATGTGAAGTCTTATCTATGTGTTCCCCACCTGGAAGATCCACTGGAGATTGTCTGTAAAACTCTTGTGGCTCCTGTGAGTCTTGCCTTCTGAATCTGGTAACTCATTTTCAACACTGTTAACAAATGAAACTGCTGCAAATATACATTTTGAGGCAAACAAATACAAATATATCATGCAAACACTAACAATATTAAATGTTCTATAGTGCTCCTAATAAGGAGAAAGTCGGGACAGTGGACTTGTGGGATTGGGCCACTGCTGCGTTACATATGAAAGTTGGCTGAGAAATCGCACTCAAAAGTTATTTTGTCATCAAAATATTGTTAAAGTATTTTCAAAAAAAATGCAAACTCCACACAGAAATGCCAACTGGCCTAACAAGGACTCAAACCAGTGACCTTCTTGCTGTGGGGTGACAGTGCTAACCACTTAAATTAACTTGGAAGTATGAAATTAATATTATTTACTAATAGATACTCTCAATGAAAAACTACATTTGCAACTAGGTGGTTGTAAATGACACCAAAGTCATTGAGTCATTTGATCAATTCAACCGATTCATTAAGGAATGGCTCTATATACTGAATTAATGGTTAGCATAATATGTGCATACAGTCCGCGTGTAACCACTAATGTATAACACAAAATACCTGTTGGCAGATGATGGTGTTTCCTCTCTAAGGTCTGGTAGTATACCCTCCTTTGAACAGTCACTCTTCAGAGACACAGAGCTGGACACACATGAGCCTGATCCCACACTGATGACACAAAGAGACCAGAGGAAAAAAAGAGCATCACAGCATGCTGCACAGTTTGTCTGCTGTTTTATGTTCCATGACTTTACTTTCCATCACTGCCTTTGCTCCTGATTGTCTCTTTGTTCGCAGCTCTTTGTAAATTGACACTATGTTAATTGGCTTTATAAGATTATATCATGCGTACCTTAGTTGCATTTGCCTTTGTTTTATGTTTTGTGTGTTAGACTTTTGTTTACTTGTGCAGACATCCCAAGTCTCCCGGAAGATCCGTGAGTCTTCCGCAAATGCATAGAGACTCCCGAATGCCCGCAAACAAGTGATAATCTCCCGGAAATGGCGCGCCTCCCAGTCCTCAAATAAGTCACGCACAAATTTCTCACCCCTCCCAACCGGATCCCTCTTCACTCTTCAGACAAATCGTGCACACTCTGTCAAATACTTACTCTACAAGTCATTGAAACCCTCTTCATTTTTTACTGAGGCCTTCTAAGACACCATGATTTGGGAACAGAGGCTTCTCTGCTATTCTTCTTTGCAGAGGTTTTCGAGAAGGTCAAAACAGTTTTTGACCAAGTAGCTTCAGACGAAGAGGGACATGTTTTTACACAGACAAGCGGACTACAACAAAGCCACTATCTTCCCTTGGATGTACCTAAGACTTTAGATAAACTCATTAACCCACTAATCCAGGTGTATACCAGGTTACAACAGAAGGAACTGCATACACAGCGTGTTCCTGCATCCGAACCAGGAGGCTTCCCTCCATCTCGCCCAATGGATCTGGACCTTCTACACTTGTCCCTGAACCCATTCAGATAACTAAGTCAGTGGAGTAGATACACTGGTGCTGCACTGAGGACCTCTGGCCAATTTGGACAAATCCTCTTTTGCTGCTACCTTACTATCAGTTAAAAAACCATGTTAGGTTTCAGACACTTACAACTTTGAAGCGCTTATTGACTCTGGGGCTAAGTTTGATTTTATAGATTCTGCTCTTGCTTTCAGTGTCTTGTCTTTTGTCTGTTTGTTCTGCTTTGTCTCATTCTGTTTTTCAGGAGAAGCACATGGACCTCTCAAACATGCCCCACTGAGCTATATATTTATTCCTAGGTACGCTTATGCCTAAAGGAAAATTATACTAATTTCTCACCCAAGAGAAATACATTCCTGATTTTCAAGTTAATCCTCCTCTCTTTGTTAGTGTAACGACTGGGGGTAGTGACACTCACAACAGAAGGTAAGATCCAATATGCAGGTTTATTCAGCGTCAGGCAAGCAGTGGTCATACAGGTGCAAACGGGTATGTTAAGGCAGTCCAGAATCGTAGTCGGTATAAACAGGCAACAGGTCAAAAGGCAGGCGGCTAAACTAGAAAACAAGGGTAAACAAGGCTAGGGTCTAAACACGGAGAAAACAAGATAAGGAGAAACGCGTTGTAATGTCACACTGGGAAAACAAGACTCGGCAAACTGGAAGGGTGAAAGAGTGGCTTATGAATGGTGTGATATCAGTCTGTGACAAGGTTCAGCTGGTGATTGCAATCAGGATAGATGAATGACCAGGCGTGCGTGTTTGGAAGAACTGCATGTATGAAAATGTAGTCCTGGGATATGCGGAAGTGTAGTTCAAGTATAGTGGAAACCAGCGATCTCCAGAGAACGATTGCTGGTTATCGTAACAGTTAGCGTGAGTGGAGTACTTTTTTGTGAAAAAGAATGATGGTTCTCTCTGTCTCTACATTGACTACTAAGAGCAGAACACTGTGAAGAATAACTAATCCATGATGTCTTCAGCTTTTGCATCCTTTTTCACAACATTAGATCTAAGAATAGCTTACCATTTGGTTAGTATAAGAGAGGGCGATGTATGGAAACTGATTTTAATACCCCCAGGAGGTACTTTGAGGATTGTGTTCATTCGTTCGGGCTGTCCAATGCCCCTACAGTATTCCTAGCACTCATAATGGATGTGTTGAGAGATATGATAGATCAATTTATTTATGTCTACCTGGATGACACACTGATATTTTCCCACTCTCTCCAGCAACATTTTCAGAACATCAGGCGAGTGCTTTAGAGGCTGTTAGAGAATGCTCTTTATGTCAAGGTTGGGAAGTCGTGCATAATTTCTTATTAAACAATGATTCTGGTGACTACTTTTGGCTCGTTGTATACATAGTTTTATTTGGCTCTGTTTGCACTGTTTCTAAGACTTCCAATCATCTTATGCTGGACTCCTTTAGCCCTGGTCAGTGCCTTTTAGACCCTAGTCCCACATCCCACTAAATTGCATTACACGTCTCTCACCATCTAGTAATGTTATATTGATTTACTGTCACTTACAGTAGAATTCATCCTGTGTTTCATGTTTCTAAATTAAAGCCCATTTTCATGTAGCCATTAGTACACCCTCCCTAGTTATCTCTCCAGCAGCGTCTCGTAGTAGGGAGACCGTTTATTCTTATCCTGACTGTCAGCAACATGACCAAAAATAATACCATATTTCACTTCACGCATCAACTGTGTGGGCCCAAACATTTAGGGGGCCCCCAGAGACATTATCAAGGGCTAACGCAACGCCGATACCCCCCCCCCCCCAAACCCCCCCCCCCCCCCCCCAAATTCCTGCTACAAATAAAGTGAGGAATAATATCTTTTTGAAAGCCATGGTATAATGATACCATTTTAATACCGGTATATTGTACAAAAAATTTACAGTCCGTGTGGAACCAACAGTGTAAAACACAAAATACCTTTTGTCAGATGATGCCGTTTTCTCTCTGAGGTCTGGTAATATACCCTCTTTTGACCGGTCACTCTTTAGAGACACAGAGCTGGACACACATGATCCTGATCTCACACTGAAGACACAAAGACATCAGAGGAATAAACTGCAGCAGAAACTTTCAATCTGAGTCTGTTTAGTTTACTTGAGCACAAACTAATTGTTGGCTCACAGTCCTGGCAGGTCTGCTACACAGGAATAACGGAAACAGACAAGTGATGCACTACTTTCTCATTTTGCACAATTTCAGCTTCACTCTAAAACCTTGTTATGTGGTAGCGTAAAATGCTCACCACAGAAACCAGATGGTGAATGAACCGCCAACACTAGGGGTGTCCAGACTCGGTCCTGGGGGCTGGTGTCCTGCACATTTTTGTTCCAACCCCAATTAAACACACCTGAACCAGCTAATCAAGCTCTTTCTAGGTATACTAGAAACTTCCAGGCAGGTGTGTTAAAGGAAGTTGGAGCTAAACTGTGTAGGACACCAGCCCTCCAGGACCGAGTTTGAACACCCCTGGCCTACACCAATCCAGAAAAATAAATAAAAATGTTCATCTTTTAAAAATGTAAATGCTTTCATTTCCAGTGGTTTCCAAAAAAATGGTCATCCACACTAAAATGGCTGAAACACTTTTGTTCATGTACTGCTCATGCGCACAGACGTTCTTCTATCCTGCTTCATATCCACCTGCCATTTATTTACTTTCCATCTCTTTGAAACAGTGGCAAAATGTGTTACCTGTGATCTGCTTCTTGCGCTGAACAACAGCTCCAGTAAACATTCCCTGTTCTTTGAAGAGAGGCAATATGGAGCTAGGCATGGGACAATAACCGTTTTAAAAATTCAAGGTATTAAAACTAATTTTCTGCTATATCGTTTCTACAATATTTATAAGGTGTTTTTTTTAAAGTTTGTTTGTTAAGTTAGTATCAACAGTATCTTCGGCAGGAAAGATATCCAAGATGCCGTTTTAAATTGTAATGAATTCAGTGTTTTTTATGGTGGCTGAGAGAGGTTAACACGCTGCAATTTAGATATTCTTAGAATTAAGAAACGATCTTCATCAGTTTGACAGCACACGTGTTGCAAATTCTCACAACACAAACAACTACATTCATTAAACGCTGCATACTATTAAAACATCGTTTCACATTTTATCATCAGTTTTTTTAGGCTAATAATTTACAAAAGACAATGGAATCATGAAATCAGGATGTTAAAATAAACAAAATAAAATCATCTTTAAAAGACCTCACTGAGCAACAGTTACGGCACAATAACACATCTATATCTCAGCAAGGCTCATCATGTTTTTGGGTCCCCTTTCCTAATTTGCTTTGTTAATTTTGTTTTTTGTAAATGCTTGTGTTTTCTTAAATTGCAGCGTGTTAAGCACTCTCAGCCAATGTAGGTTTTAGGCCTAACGAAGACAGCAGAAGTCAATAAATTCCCTTGAATTATTTAACCTGACATGTTTACTGCTCCAAAATATTTTAAAAGTTTCTCAAAAAAAGAAATATTGTGTTCAAAGGGGGACAAGGTTATGTTTTTTTACCCAGATATTTTAAAATAATATATTTTAAAGCATTTTCTTAATTTTCTTAAAAATAATATATATATATATATATATATATATATATATATATATATAAATTTAAATTTTTTTTAAGCAGTAATCGCAGTACCATAAAACCGTGAGAGATCTTACAGAATCCGTCAGAATCTTACAACAGCCCATGCCTATATAAAGAATCTACAAACTGACATTAATCTTTAATAAAACTGTCAAAATGGTCAGCATCCAAAACATCTGCTTTACAATGTCTTTCACCATATTAGCTGAATTAGTCACATGACTGCTTTTTCCTCCCAAATATATGTTTTCTTTTCCTAAAAACACAATCTGTGTGGACAGAAGCCCGAAACAGAACGAAAAATATGCGCTTTCAACGAAAACATATTAAAGTGATGCATTGTATCATTGCATTAGAGTGCATTGTTGTTGGTCTTTGTTCTTCAGAGAAAGTGTTGAAATAATGGTGTAAAAACAGTCAATACCTGTGTTCCTCTGAGAGAGAGTCCTTTACTCGCTCCTCTGCCATACTGCAGCTCAAACACCAATGCTAACATTAGCAGAGCTTTGAGGAAACAATCAGCCGCTCACCATCAACTGGATATGACAATATGCTGAGATTAGTAACTTTACACTTTAGTGTTGTCAAATTTTTTAATTAAGTTAGTAGTAAAAACATCCAGGTACAGTTAAGGGTTAAATGCAGTTTGTTTAGGGAAAATCAGCATGTTTTTGTCTTCCTGTATAACTGGAAAGTCTGGTTTAACTTTGCTTTCAATTTTGTCACTCTGTACGTTTAGAGTCATATTTTGTGCTGAATTATCCGAAATTATCGAGTCAGCCAGATATAGAAGAGTACAAACACTTTCAAAGGATTAAAAATAAAGATTTGACACAATGTTTAACTGACTGTGTTAGACTCCATGTTTAAACAAACAGTGTTTGAAGCTGAGACTTTCAGGATCAGACAGACATTTAAATCATGCTTAAACATATAAAACCCCTTCATCATTTCCACAATTAAGCATAATGATAGTAGTATTAAACTTACATGCAGAAGTACAGACACTCGTGTGCAGCAGGAACACAATATAAGCTCTTGAACTCTTTCGCTTCACTAAATCACACCTGGGTGATCTACAGGTATATCCTGAAATATTGGTTCCACAGGGTGGCACTGACATGAATATTCATGAGATTCTCCTGACTGTGGGCATATCCTTGAGACAACACACAAATCACTGCAACTGAAAATGTTTGTGCAATTTCTCTGAGCACAAGTTTAAGTGTTTTCTAATAATCAACGGGATTGTTGAATGCTGTCATTTATCCATGGTTTAACTGTTTCATTCAGACCCGTTTCACTTTCGTTCTCCTGTAAAACACAAAAGAAGATATCTGGAATAATATGAGTAACCTGAAACAATTGACTTCCATGGCATTTGTTTTTCCTACTCTGGAAGTCAATTGCAAGTTTTGTGTTTATACTCGAAATAATGAGAAAAAAAGGTTTTGGAACCACTTGAGGTTGAGTAAATGTTTATTTTAGGCAGAACTAAACCTTTAAGACATATCTTTTTATCCTGGCTTTATATGTTTTTTTTTTAAGCCTTTATTGCACCTTATTTGTGTATGTTGCGTACATGTTTTTGGTCTCGTGTAACCATTTAGATTTTTGCCAGCCTATGAGGTGACGTTCTGAAAGTTGTCATTTAATAAAATGCATTATTACTATTATAAAAAAGTGTTTCTGAACAGTGTTTGTGCTCTGAGTGAGCAGCAGGTGGCGCTAATGCACTGTTTACAACACCTTTTAAATATAAACGTCACCAGGCTGCACAGCGCTTCTGCATCTGCTGTGATCGAGGACCAGGGGGGGCCAAGTCGGAGCACTCAATCTGGTCCCCCGGCATCAGCGCTGGTTGGGGAAACACCAACTTGAACCAAAAAACAATCGATAAAAGATTGGCAAACAAAACTCAGGACATTGCAACCTGCAGAACCAAACATAATCTGCTGTGATCGCTAATGATCAACTGAAGAAAAGTTTGTGTTCTCAAACATTTATCATGTTAATTACCAGGGCTTGACGTTAACTTTTTGATCACCAGCCACTGTGGCTAGTAATAGTCCAGCATTACTTGCCACTCACCCTTTTCACTAGCCACAATTTTATTTTATTGTAGGTCAAATATATTTTATGGTTATATGGAGCACTGGGACATTACCCGGTGGCCTGATGTTCAATTTGGCCTGCCACCGTAATTAATCTGGCCTGCACAGCTAATTTTTAATTAATTTATTTTAAAAGTTAATTAGTAATTAATTTTTCATGTTGATGCTAAGTATAATAGCTACTTTTGATAATACTGTATATTATTTTACAACTATCAAATGTTTTATTAAGTTAAAAGTCCTTCTTTTGTAACACGTAGAATATGTTTAATACCTGCACAAGTGTTATTTAAACTGTCAAAGGAAAACCAAATGACTGAAACTCACCAAAACAATACACTCGCAGGTCCTTAGGTACCTCAAAGGTACATATCTATACCCAAATGCACATGAAATGTTCCTTTGAGGTACTAATATGGACTCTACAGCACCTTTTGAAAAGGTACTGCCCCAGTGACAACTATCGTACCTTTATTTCTGAGAGTGTACAAATTTATTTAAAACAATAGCTATAATTAAATATAATAATTAAACAATTAATGTAACAAAAATAATTAAAACTTTAAGGAACAGATGAATATACTGCAACAAGACATGAAATGATAAAGGCCAAGTGATGAGAGAGGAGAGTGGTGTGGAAACAAATAAGGGCAGCAGCACTTCTAAAGATCCTGCAACTATGACAAGCAAAAATAGTCACTGGAGATCACTCCTTCAGCCAGTCACCTGGACTACATATCCCATCATGCCCTGCACCCATGTAGATTAACTTCACTGATAACCTGGACTATACAGTTGAGGTCTGAATTATTAGCCGCCGTTTATTGTTTCCCCCAATTTCGGTTTAACGGAGACATTTTTTTCACACATTTCTAAACATAATAGTTTTAATAACTGATTTATTTTATCTTTGCCATGATGACTGTAAATAATATTTGACTTGATATTTTTCAAGACACTTCTACACAGCTTAGAGTGACATTTAAAGGCTTAACTAGGTTAATTAGGTTAACTAGGCAGGTTAGGGTACATAGGCTAGTTATTGTATAATGATAGTTTGTTCTGTAGACTATCGAGAAAAAATATAGCTTAAAGGGCTTAATAATGTTGACCTTAAAATGGTGTTTAAATTAATAACTGCTTTTATTTTAGCTGAATTTAAACAAATAAGACTTTCTCCAGAAGAAAAAATATTATCAGACATACTGTGGAAATTTCCTTGCTCTGTTAAACATCATCTGGCAAGTGTAACCCCGCCGGTCCTATGCCACCCAACCCGCTCTGGGCTGGTATCGAATCGGTGACTTCTCGCATGGGAGTCTGTTGCTCTACCAAGGAGGCTAAAGACCATGGCCTCTAGCGTCAGTCGCTAGATCACTTATAGAGGTCAGAGGAGTGAGGTTTACCTTGCATCACGCTTACTAGCTGGCCTCCGTTACACTCACCCCCTAAACCTCACTCCCATCCGGGTCACGGCACCAATGTAACACCCCATTCACACGGGGCTTCAGCGTCAACACTTTCCATTCACTCTGAATGGGTGGCCTCAGGCGTTGCTCGCTGCAGAAGTTGGGAGCAGCTCAACTTTTCAAGCGCTGACGGAAGCGTGAGCCAATCAGATCGCTGTATGCAAATACACCAGCTAGACAGTGGTCTATTGCTGACTGATTTTCATTGGCTGACGCTTCTATGACGATCACTTCAGCCCCAACTTCAGACACTCCTTCAGTCCAACGTTGACGCTGAAGCCCTGCGTGAATGGGGCGTAAAAATGCCAGTCTTACGCCGCCCAACCCACTCAGAGCTGGTATCGAGCCAGCGACCTTCCGCATGGGAGTCTCTACCAAGGAGGCTAAAGAGGAGGCCTCTGTTACACTAGCATCAAAAAAAAGAAAATAAATTTTAAAGAAGGCTAATAATTCTGACTTCAACTATAAATACTTCGCACTCACCCATTGTTGAGTCTTGTTTAACTGTTGCTGCACCACACCAAAAGTTTCCTTGTTTCTGCCTGTTCTTTGACCCTTAGACTGATTCTTTGCTGCATGTCTCGACCCATCACCTGTTTCTTGGTTTCCTCTGTGGACTGCCTTTGATGTCAAGTCCATTGGCTGTTTTGACTATTCTACTAATGAACCTGCATTTGGATCTAACACCTGTCGTCATGTCTTTTCTTACTCAACAACTTTCTTACTTTTCTTATCTGCCTTCAGTTTTCAAGGGTTTTCTGCAATCAACCATGGACATGAGATGTTTGATATCCTCTTCTTTTATGCACATTAGGTCATCAATCTCCTTTACTCCCGTTCAGGACAAATTTTCAAATCATGCTATCCAGATAGAGAAGGGTGCATTTTAATGTCTACTCCATCACTTTTCACCTAGACAAAGAGAATGATGAAGCACAGCAAGATCAAAAATATAAAAAAACAAAGATATTAAATACTGATGATTTACTGTAGTGATTACTTGTTCGTGATTATCAATTGTTTATTGAGATAATAGCACATTCTTGACACTTCTGTGATTTTTGTTATCATGCAAACAGATACATTTTACAGGGGACAAATCATAAAATACTAAAAACAATGTAACAAACATGAAACAAATCATAAAAAACTATGTAAAAATCACAAGATCTGTGTGTAAATGTGACTAGATAACTGCTAGAGTAAAAGAAAGTATATAAGTATATAAATTTACTGTAAAGTACTACATAGCAATATGACTTGGATAATATTTTTAAGCAAAATATATGATTGTCAAAGTGCAGATTTTTGATTGAATTGATTAAATTCGTGAGTATCCCAAGAAACAATTTCTCCCAACGCCGTATTTCTAGACCAATTTGGAGAATGATGCCAGGTCATTATTATGAAAGTATGCTGAAGTTGTGTGATGTACTTTCCTGCCCATGTGTACAAGTTGAGTGTTTTTTGTTTTTTTTATAGCTATAAAATCTGAGATATTCTAAATCTGGGTATATTTAGATGGTGCAAGAGAGGAGTGAAGGGGTAAAGTGATAAGTTTCCAGAAGCAATAACACTGACGTGAAATACAGATACAAAAAAACAGTGCGTTAAACACTCAAGTAAATACAGTGGGTATGGAAAGTATTCAGACCCCCTTAAATCTGTCATTCTATTATATTGCAGCCATTTGCTAAAATCATTTAAATAAAAAAATATCTCTTTAATGTACACAACACCCCATATTGACCGAAAAACACAATTTTAGAATTGTCGATTTATTAAAAAGAAAAACTGAAATATCACATGGTCCTAAGTATTCAGACCCTTTGCTGTTATATATTTAACTCAGGTGCTGTCCACTTCTGATCATCCTTGAGATGGTTCTACACCTTTATTTGATTATACTGATTGCACTTGATTAGGAAAACCACACACCTGTCTATATATAACCTTACAGCTCACAATGCATGTCAGAGTAAATGAGAATCATGAGGTCAAGGGAACTGCTTGAAGAGCTCAAAGACAGAGTTGTGGCAAGGCACAGATTTGGCCAAGGTTACACAAACCTTTCTGCTGCACTTAAGGTTCCTAAGAGCACAGTGGCCTCCATAATCCTTAAAGGGCCATGAAACCCCCTCGTTTCAGCAGGGTGTTTTCACACCTCTACTTTGGAAAAAGTCAGAAAAGTGGGTGTGTCCAGCTCTGTTTAGGGGGGAGTGTCGGAGGAAGAAAAGTGGGATGGTGTGGGAGTGTCTATTTGGGCACGCGCAAGGTTCAGAGTCAAAATACACACACACACAGTAAAAAGTGATGGTGTTTAACCTACATGGACATCTGTAGTCGAATTATTTGCCAAATTATTAAATGGGTGACTTTAACTGCAGTTTGGCTCTTTCATTCAGGGAATTCATTCATGCCCCTCGCGACAAACGAGATATTTGATTCGAGGAACTGCTCTAAGCGTGTATTTTTCATGCAATGTTTGATATCGCACGGCGAATGAGAGAAAAAAAAACCTCCGCATTTCCCGGAAACTTAGATGCACACGGCAGGTAGTGTCAGAAAGCCGCGTGTGTTATTCCGGTCACAAAATGCGGTAAAAACCCTACACGAGGTTAAAGTTTGGTTGTGGTGGTAACATGTTTACACTCGGTGCAATAGTTTGTTAGATACGAACAAACTGAATAAACAAAGAGCACTGCTCGCTCACTTACCAAATCTGTAGAGACAGGACAATCACCAGCAACTAGAGCCGCGTCTTTATGAAGAGAAAACTACAAGCGAATCCAGATCTCAGCGTTTGGAGATGAGAACAGCTCTCAGGTAAACAATAATCCTCCTTAGACACGTAAGTTATTGTTGTCGAGCGTCGCGTACACTGTTAATCCACACGTGATCCAGATAAGCTCTCACAGAGAGAAAATGAAAATGAAACTTAACTGCAGCAAACTATAAAAGCAACACTTCACGCTTGTTTTGCCAATACAATGTGGCGTCTCTGTCGTGTAAACACTGTGACAGTAATGAATATTAATGAAGTTGCACAATAGAGCGCGGTGATTGGTTTGAACCAAGCCTTACTCATGCATTAATGCATCACACTGTAAGACGTAATAAGACACACTCTAATACAGACGTCCAGTCTGCACGCTGAAATACAACGCTATTATGTCATGACCGTGACGCAGCTTCAAAAATTCGTTTCAAACCGGAAGTACGACTTTGCTTGAAATAACGCAAAAACAACCAATTTACACTTTTTAGTGAAATATAGGTGTCCTAATAGTGTTTTTAGCAGTGTGGGACACAAATACGACTGTCAACAGCTCAAAACATGTGTTTTGGTGTTTCGTGACCCTTTAAATGGAAGACGTTTGGGATGACCAGAACTTTTGCTAGAGGTGGCTCTCTGGCCAAACTAAGCAATGAGGGAGAAAGAGCCTTGGTGAGAGAGGTAAAGAAGAACCCAAATTTCACTGCGGCTAAGCTCTAGAAATGCATTCGGGAAATCGGAGAAAGTTGTAAAAAGTCAACCATCACTGCAGCCCTCCACCAGTTGGGGCTTTATGGCAGAGTGGTCCAACGGAAGCCTCTCCTCAGAGCAAGCCACATGAAAGCTAGCATGGAGTTTACTAAAACGGTAAGAAATAAGATTCTCTGGTCAGATAAGACCAAGATATAACTGTTTGGCCTTAATTCTAAGTGGTGTGTGTGAGGGATTGCAGGCACTGCTCATCACCTATCCAGAACAGTCCCAACAGTGAAGCATGATGGTTACAGCATCATGCTGTGGGGGTGTTTTTCAGCTGCAGGGACAGGTCAGTTGCAATTGAGGGAAAGATGAATGCAGCCAAGTACAGGGATATCCTGGATGGAAACCTTCTCCAGAGAGGTTAGGACCTCAATGGGCCGAAGT